ACATTTTTCGATCTTTCGGTGCGAAAGAAAGACTAATAACCCTTATTTAGTGGCCTCTAATAGTCACGAAACGTCTTCATTTCGCTGGACCTCCGGCGAATAAAATCATCTCTACGCTGGGCGAGATGAATTGCACACCGACACATTCATCGCTGCGGTCCGTGAGGAATCCCAGACAATCTTCGCCACCATGAGAGATGGGCCTTGGACAGTGTTGGAGCTGTTGGAGGATCGTGCAAAGTAAGGCTGGATTTTATATGATTTACAGTACAAACGGGTGAAATTTATATTTTATATTTTATTTTATTTGCCTTTCCTTTTGCAGACCTTCATTTCTTATCGCCATGATCGCGATCGCTCAACAGTGCCAGGCGGAAAGATTACAGTCACCGCGCGAAGAATGTCAGTTGCGGACGAGATCATTGGATTCTGCTCGTAATACTTCTGCCCTCTTCTGTCACTGTTTGTATGGAAGGAATTACTTTAAAATCACAAATGGAATTCCTGGGAGGGCGAGGAGGATGTTCATCACGGTGAATGGAAAAAGCGCAGACCCACCAGAGCAATTATATATCAAATATATACGCAGTGCCAGAAAGTTTATAAATTGAATCAATATTAGTTTCTCATGCATCTCAAAAAATGGTTATGTATGATTTTTTCAGTGGAATGATGCTCAGCGAGGGAGAGCGATTGAAGCTTAAAAACTTTTTGACGAAACTATGTGCTCTGTCATTCTGAATAATACAACCGTGGATGATTGAAGTTATTGATCTCTTTGATTACTATATTAACAGAATGCCACACAAAGTTGATGAATTCTCAGCGAGTCGTTAATTTAAAAAGCACCTTTTTCACATCACCTCTCCACCCAGATCCTCACCCGGGGTGCTTCTTCGTCACACCATGTGGGAAATCAAGCCAGATGATCATTTCCGCTGATTTCTGCTCAGAGAATTTTCTCGGTTGAATCGCTGGGGGAACGCGTGTCTCTGTGGTTATTTTTATTTATTATTCGTGCAACTGCTGTGAGTTGATTTGCCATCGAATTTGTGACGATTTACCATCGTGCTGACGGCAACGCGGCGTATGGCAATTGTGCAATTGATCCACGCAGTGAGTAGCTTATATGTGCAGAGAGATTGCCTTTATTGAGCAATCAATGTCAAATAAGCGATCACGATTGCCCACATACCGAATGAAGGGATCTTTCAATGGTGTTGATCATGCACCTCAGATCGGAAACCTCCCGCGTGATTTCCCGCCAAGAGGCATGTCATTTTGCTGGCAATTTACCGCGTAGTTTGTAGATAGAAAGTGCCAATTATATGTCCAAAAACGCATACCTTTTCCTTTGGTCTCTAGACCGTGCAATGTTACCCATACAATTGTAGCTTCAGGTGCTAATCAAACCTCTCTTGATTACCCTCCTTCTTTCTTGAGCATTTCCTTTTGAGATCGACATCTCTTATGCATTTGATCAAACATCGTAAATTTCATCGTCTTGTACAAAATGAACAATGATTGTTATCACTCACCATTGATCACGGATCGCGATGATCGGTGGATTGAGTGCATGGCACGAGGGACGTCCACCAATTTGTGATCTCGTCGGTTGTGGAATGCCATCGCGGGGAGCGAGGCTAATGTCTCTCTTACCCGATGATGATCCGTATACACGGCGTTCCGGCCTAATGGAAGTGTCAGAACATGTCAATTTGACCTATTGTAGTCCCGCTCGAGAAGTATTCCATTGGAAGCCCACTCAGCGTGTTGGGCAATAAAGTACCTTCACTTCAGACATGGCCATTTGATGCGAGGAGCCGCTGTGGAATGAACCAAATTGGGTGACGAGGAGAACATCTCAATTAATATCACACAAATTTTCCATATCACTCACACAGACTCACTAAATTGTCCCTCGGGGTTGATAGCTTTCTGGGAGAAACTACACAAGCAGTCCTGATCGTGTTCTAGAGAGTGGGTAGCTTAGTAAGGAATCTAGAGTCTGGTAAACCCCTTGGGAGCCCGGAGTGGGTGATAAATATATGTAAGCTCAGAGCGCGGTGGAGGAACACACAAAGCGAGATCTACCTGGAAAGTGTCTTATATGTATCTCCTTGGTATTATTAATGTGGCATGGGCTCACATATTGGGATGCTGATGGTGTGCCCAGAAGATGAAACCACAGGTATTTTTGTTAATGACCCATCTATATTGGAGTCCCTCTCCATCTCCACTCATCTCCCATTTCCAGACGCGCACACACATCGAAAAAAGCCATCGAGAGTGTTGGAGTCTATTGAGAAAATTATAGGTTATCAGTTGGTAGTTGAGTGCGGCGTTTTCTTAAATTAAATAAATAATAGTTTCTGAAACACCTTTCCAGAGGTAATTTGTGCGAACCTCGCATCTACTGAAGATTCCACACAAACACCCAAACCTCTCAGTCTGCTGAGTGGTTTTGGTTCGCGCCGATGGAATATGTGAAGGACGGCGCGAAGATGTTGTATGATCATCGAGAGTGTTTTGTATGTTTGACGATGGTATATTAAAAATACACAAAGGAATCTCTTTCAGTCTTCATCATCACCTCAAACACACTTCTTCATCGACCCTCTATCCGCGCCATCGCTGATCGTTCCCTTTGATCACTGGAGCATTTGATTTATTTGACACGACTCAGGGGTTGGGACGGGTTCTCACCTCGCCAGGAGGCCCTTAAGTGCTCCTAATTGATCGCTATCATTTCAGTGAGATCCACCAGTGGTCTCTGGATGTTGTCAGTCAAGATATGACTCACATCTTTCGGGTATAGGGATAACCATCAGGCAGATTGAATTAAATGGATAGTTTATTTATCAGTAGAACACTGGGTATTCTTATATTGCTTATGTTTGGCATTCGTTAAGCCAAAAGCAATGAAATTTCTACACCCTTAAAAATAACTCATTGTCCTTTTATGAAAGCTGTATAAAGAAATCAACAGTTTGAAGAACTAACCTTGTATTTGGTTGGTAAGAATCTTTGAAATTGATGAAACTGAATGTAAATCTAGAAAATATTTTATTAGGTACATATATATATATACATAAATCTGTCAAACTTACAATTTTCTCAATAGTTGGTTTGCGGTATTTCTAAAGTGAAATACAATTTGGAACTCAACGATCTCAGAAAAGACGCTTCGTGTTCGACCCACCGCAAATTCAATTCGCCGTGAGATTTTTTCTCCACCCCGTAGGACGCGACGGAGTAAATTAACCATAACGTGAGGTTTCTTTCCTCCTCCGATCTGGCAAATTACTTAATATATTTGTAGGACGCGAGCCAAAAATAATAATTTCACACAATTTCTCTCTCCCTTCCCGAGACATTTGTTTCTTGTGTGTGGCCGAGGCATAGGCAAAAAAGGCCAACAAGTTGGTGATCATGTGGATTTCTTTTCGATGACTCGTTGCGGTGTCCCTGTGTGTGGAATGGGGACCTCGTGAAGCTCACACTTGGGCTCTTGGCTGGGCAAAACGTGGCCACAGGAGAAGAAGAATCTTCCTGATGGTGTGTGATGAGGGAGAAAATGAGAGGCGTGCAGCAATTTTTGCCCTTTTTCCATACACTCCACACCATATTGCGAGGAGAGATGATGATTCCTCCTTGGATGGTGCAAATGTAATTATCTTCGTTGGTGTTCTTCACGCGTTATAATTTAATGGCGTTTTCGAACACCTTTTTCTCGGATGGAGGCTGCTCTTGGCGCGATGGCCGAAGCCCTCTTGCCATCCCCGTTTCACTACCCAAACTATTCAATCTCGCGCCAGAGCATTTTTATTTCAATAGTCCAAATTTATGAGCAGCTATTTGAGAATTCCGGACTAATTGAAGGCACATCCATTTGTTCTCATCGCAGCCACACTTGCCCCCTTTCTTCGACGTCCCACTTCTTCGGCATTGCCGACCAGCCATTTGTTCGCGGCAACGTGAAAACCACACAATGACGATCGTGGACAGGAGCGATGAATAACTTTTCTTGGGCGCTTTATTAAATAAAATTTCAATGCTCCAAGGTAATTTACACATATTTAGCATTTTACTTTTGTTTATAACAATAACAGAGACCCATGAATCTTTCTCTCTGCCCAATTGCTGTCTCATATACTCTTCCACATCGCCTTATCGCATATAGAGCTATTCACATTCCTCTCCCGGCATCTCTCACATCCAATGAAAACTATGTAACATTTATACATTAAAAGAGACATTCAAGATTCCTTTCTTTTCATTTGGTTAAATTAATGCAATAGAGTTGGGTTATTGACTGAAATAACACAATAATATGAACATCAAGTGTAATTTCATTTTCAATCCTTCCATTTTGCCTTCTTATGCTTCTTCAATCTCGAGGTAATTGATCTAGTGGCACGATCGTGTGATCATTATTCTCGCCATCATAGCACATTTGCAATTTCTTCCGAGGCGTCTTGAGGTTTATTGTAGAATGTGCAGAATTCTTTAAAAGACTGCTAACCATGCTCAAGAACTTCTAAGTTTAGGCATTCTAAAGTCATACAATGAGAAATATTAATGCATCACAAGGATTTGTTTTTTTTCATATTCTACTGCTGAAAGGATTGATAGGGTGAATTTAATTCAAGTAGACTTCCCTACAAAATCACTATAAGTATAGTTCTTTAAAAGAATATCATATTGTCATCTTTTCATCAGTCTTCCATTGCACAAGAATACAGATCCTTGTTCTTTGTATCTCTACCCTCTCTTTCATTGCCGAATCCCAGATCTTCACACAAAAAACACCTCATAAGAGATTGTTTTGTGAAAGCGGAAATATTCGTGTTTTTTCTGCACTAAAGACTCACACTCCGCGATGATCTGAGGAATTGCTCGATACCATATATGTTTGGTATATTCGAGGAATTTTGTAGAGTCATTTTCCAATGTGAGTAAAAACGAGCAATGTGAGCAATTAAAAGAGGTCAGTCGGGTCCAATGATGAGTTCAAATTTGGTGCAACGAAAAAAGCGTCACTCATTCATATTGTGCGATTTCCAAAGAATTTCCCACAGCTTTTTCTCCTACAAGCAAGTGTAGCGCGTTCTGCGTTCATCACACATTTTGCACTTCACTTCGCAACACCACTCAAAGGTGCAGTGACACGGGACCTTGCGATTCACTAGATCCGCCTTGTAGCCGCGGTTGCAGCAGAGGAGATCGCATCCATCCACACCTAGCGATGTGGCGTTGCACTCGCGTCCTTGCGTGCCTAGCGAGCCAGTCCGGTGGTTAGGACGACAGAAGTCTGGCGACTCTTCAACGTAGACAAGGTCCTCTTTCGTTGGTGGCTTGATGGTTCGGCCTTCAGGCATTAGGCTCGTTCCGTCGTTGCGAGCAATCACCTTGGCTGCACCGTCGTAGCGCTCCCGAAGTCTATCTGCAACTTCCCGAAATGGAGGCATCGCCATCCAGCAAGTTTGCATTGTGCAGGAGCCGGACATGCCGTGACAACGACACTTCAGTTGCATATGCTTTTTTATTGCCTATGAATGGGGTAAACTAGATGTCGTCTACAGAGGACTTGGGGAGTGACGTAGAGCGGACTTACCAGCAGTCCTGCGATGTTATTGTGCGTCTTGACGAGAGCCTTGATGTCTTTCTTTCGCCGATATCTCGCATCTAAGAAGATCTTGGACTTGTTGACACCAAAGTTGATGTTGTCTCCGCATCCCGCCCACTCGAACTTCTCATTGGGAGCTATCAAGTACTTCCGCCACTTCTTCATCTTGCTGGTGGGATCGCTGTTGGCGTGGCAAGTGCACTCCACGAGGTTGCCTGTGGCACAAGCTCGGGCCACCGTGTAGGCAATCCCGGCGGCCGTGATGGCATTCACGAACGCCGTCTCGCGTGTATCTGCAACAAAGAGCGACAGAGAAATTACCTTTAATGCCCAGCTCCCATCCTCTTTGCATCCACCATCGAGTTGTGCTCTTTTTGTCCCCAACTCTCGCACTGACATGGGAGGTTCAAAAGGAGAAATCTACCGACTCCCCGTGGAATTCCGCTGAACACCTATAAATCGCGTCAGCTCTCTTTCGCCCGTGATACGCACTTGTCACCATTGTGTACATATTGATTTACAATAGGAGACCCCCGTCTCTTTAAAAATAAACCCTCAGTGTCTTCCCCGGTGTCCACCTCTTGCCAAAAGCCATGCACACTCCATGGAAATGTGGCATGAGAAAAAGATTGGTTGGGAATTGAGGGGAAAATTTATTGATTTCTTATGCAGATCCGCGATACTATAAACATTTCGGTATGTCGTATTTAGATCTCTCATCGAATTGCTGCATTTGTATGTCTCTCTCCTCAAGGCGAAGTACTTCTTAAAGGTTCGCTCTTCGTCAACAGTCTGTCCCCAATTTGACGAATCGTATTTTACACAAATACAGATTACATCAACGTGAGTATTCAGTCATTGAAATATTCTCTGCTGGCGAGGAAAATAAATTTCATCTACTTGTACGCGTGATCATCGAAGGCCTCAATTATCCTGAGGGTTTTACTGTATTTCCCGAGTAAAGAGCAAATAAAGAGTGGAATTGGAGACACACATCAAGTGCTTCGAATGGCATGTATTTGGCCAATTTAAAAGTATTTTCTCCTTATATTTAAATCGAAAGAAAAATACCAAAGTCTCTCCGTGAGACGACGATGGAGTGTGACAGACATCGAGGATACACTGTTGATTGTAATTGCGCGGGGATTCTGTACTTAATACAATAATGTAATTGATGAATGTACTGATTGTTTGCAACAGACAGTTGAAGTTATGTTACTCACTTCAACTGATCTTCTCTTTAACCGATGGTGGGTTTTGGTGCATATAAATTTCGCTGGCGTGTGGTTTTATCTCTCTTTTGAGTTACCAAAATATTTTCAGAAAAATTCACTCACCGTGAGCTAATATTCGCTTGAGACTCCTTCTCTGGCTGTTGCAGTTCCATCTATTGTTCCGAAACTGGTACTGACACTCGGATAAGCTCATAGAGATTCCATTTGTGATTTCTCTGAGCAGCGATGTGCCGTTTTTGCAAATATCAGCAAGTTTTCCTTTGGCACGCTTTGCCTTTCGGCACTCACGCTGAGGATCCAGAAGGACGTTGCTTCCTTCAACCCTGAAATTAACAAGAATAAGAGGGATAGTGAGAAAAAATGTTTAAAGTTTACTTCGTCATACGAGACCATTGCCAGACAACTTTATGGGAACACTTTAGGATGCATACAATGTAAATAATAAGTGTGCTTCCTAACAGAAGCCCCAGCAATAACTTCAATTACCGTCAGGTTATTGCGAATATCTGTTAATATTACTATGAAACGTTTTCAATATTCCTCATAAAAAGCTGTGACTCGTGGAAAAACCCTCCGGAAGCATCAAGTGCCACACTTAATGCGATCATAAGGCTGATGATCGCGATCGTTTCGCAACATTGAAGTTCACGATGATCTGATACCAACGGTCGAATCATACATCTGAACTGTGATTCAACGTTGTGGCGTGCGAGAGAGATGGAAAGTGAAACCCGGTGTGTGGGGTATAAATTAATTAGCATTCATGTGAAAGATTTTTCTCAATTAGAGCGAGTGTGTTGAAAGAGATGGAGGGTATGTAATGTGAAAACAAATGTTGGGAGGATTGGGCATAAAAATTGAAATTATGAGAACATTTATTTTAACCGGATGAGTTTAACTATCTTATTGGCAATGTATATATAATTTAATTGAGCAATTAGATCATCGATTTTATTGTGGATGCGTCTGGTTTGGCGCTTCGGTGCGGATGGCTGTGGAGAGGGAAAGTGTATGGCATCGTGATTGAGGAGGGAGAGACGATCACACTTGCAGTCGCTGACGTAAACAATGTTCATCCCCATGGAATTTGTGTGAAGGTTGGAAAGGGAATTCCACCACAGATGATCGCATCCTCGTGTCCAGGGAGCGAGGTGAAATAGGGCAGAGGCACTCCTGGCCAGACCATCTGAGACACTGCCAGTGAAAAGTGGTGCTCCACAGAGATACCAACACTTCTCCAATTGCAAGAAGAAGCCCATGTGTACACAGAATTTTATGGTTGAAAACACACTATACAGATATCCTGGAATGACAGTAGCTGTAAACAAAATTTAATGACTTATACACTTGATTGCCTAAATGGCTACAATAAAAATATGTGACGAGAACATTTTCACGCAATCCTCAAGTGAGACGATCGACTTGGCTGGTGGATGATGTTAGGAGAAGTAGTTTAGTCGAGATGATCGGGAGTGGAGGAAAAAAGGCGGGAGAGACTGTGAGTTTTGTAACTATGAACGGATGTGATTATGGGATGCTTTAGTCATCCTCACATTTCGTGATCTGCTTCGCTTAGACACTCTCAATAATCTCTTCTATTTATTGAAATAATACAACTTTGAGAATTTACATCTAATTGCGTTACTTCTCGAAATTCCTCCATGTTCTGGTCTTCATTATTCTAAAAACTTTTTTTTTCGGAAGAAACTTTCCACAAGCTTAGCTATACCATCAGTCTCAATCAGTTATAATTTATAGAATGGCAGATTGCGAAAATAAACTTGGTAAAAGAAGGAAATTCGCGCGAAAAATATTAGTATACTTTTGTTTATAACGAGGCACTAAATTGTCGACCGGAAAAAACATCGATTGCTAGTATGATGATCCTGATTTCTTGGAGAAATAAACGTTTCATTTATTCGGAAAATTTTGCAATTATTTTGCCGAGGAAAAGCTAACTATAGTATCGGGTTTAGGCGCCGCAGGTCCAGACTGGAAAATAAGCTCGCGGCAAAATGCAAATAAATAAAATTACATTAAATTCAAAGATTTGATTGACAAGGATTCTGTTCACTTGTTATTTACTGGCTAAGAATGGTCGTGTCTTGGTTGATTTTAATTCAATCTGTAGGAACTTTGTGAGACAGTTTAAAGTATGCAATTTCTCTGTTCAAAAACCGCCATAATTCAGTCGTATATCTTTAAAATTAATATTAATGAGCACCTAATCGAATATGTAACAATTTGAACAAAAGATCTGCTCCTAATATGCTCATAATATTATGAAAATCAGGTGAAATATTTAACTATACGAATTAGTTAATTTATGTAATCAGGCGATTTTCGTATACATTTTTCCTATCCACAATCCCGCATTTCCAGAAGAATGTTGTATTTTTATTCCAAGTCCGAAATAGATAAATTTAGATATCTTTAACTCAGATACGTCACATCTTTCATCATGTTTCTCCACAGATAATGCTTATGCACGGGGATCACTTCATGATGTATTTACACGAGATAAGACACCTGATGAATTCTCCGCAAAGCCGAGTGACACAGAAACACTTGATCTTCTACATGTTTCACTAGTGAAAAGGCGTGCTCGTGGCAGATGGAAGTGCCTTTTAATTGCAAATTCAAGACAATTTTCTAAACATTCGGGGCGCCTGCAATTGTGACATGACAGTAGCAGAAATAAACACTTTTGATCAATGGGATTCGTGTGATCGATTGTATGAACTTTCATGTGAGCACTCTGTTTATTTAAGAATTTAAATACAAACTGAAGCATCCATTGCTGCCCGAAATGCTCTCTTGCTGCCCCGCTGGCTCGCGTGAAATACTCTACGAATATGAATATGAAGAGTTGTTGACGCAACATGAGTTTTCACGTATGTCTACGTCATAAATATTTCTTCTATATCCGCCATCCGGGAGCTTTTTGCGCCCCCGTGACGCCCCAATAGGGGCAATTAAATTTGTAAACGGTTCAATACAGGATCCTACTCACCATCCTGATCCGGTGATGGGCATGAGAAAGAGGAAGAGCGTTGATATGAGCACAAAACGCATTTTACATTCAGATATTCTATTCACTGTCTCAACGATCCTCCGCACACTTGAGTTGATCTCCTCTCACGTCACAGGAGTTAGTTTCATTTTTATTATCTTCACACTATTATCTCACATGGGTTGTTTTGTTTACGTATACAATTGTGTATAAGGTTCTTTGCTCAGTCTGAGGGGGAGCAGCAAAAACGAGGATCGTCTCACTGTGCGTGATCGCAAACCGAATCAATCAATTTAATGGCAACACTTATGGGCAATTTTGCCAGCTGGGCGTATATGAGGTGGTAATGCTGATCACCGAGTAGATCTTGCGGTACTATGGAAGGAAATCTTTATACATTACACTTTTTGTCGACACTTGTGATCGTCAGCCAGAGAAAACTCCGTGAAACTCCACACGATCACACACTTTCACTCTCATTCGGTCATCTGCCAGCGAAAAGCACCATCACCTTTGGAGTTTTGGAGTTTTCTCGGCGATCTCTGAGGGCATTCTTGACGCTCTTTCACGAATCCGGCGGCACAACAGACATCCGTCGAGAATGCCCGCTGCTGAGGTATACGATTAACTCACACTTGAGCACTCACACGTGCTGATCCGTTAAGTTTTTCCACCGGCCCGTGATTGCGGAACTAAATAACTCCACATTGGCCAGAACTCATCATGATCACACCGTTCTCCACATGTTCGCGCAGTGTCTCTTCCGATAACCCTTTTCCCGAAGACTCCCACGCACCAACTGACTCGGGGATGTGATCTCACGGTGATCTTCACCTCTTTTTCAGTCTCTACAAAGTGTCACAGAAGCGGAAACGACGCGATAGCTCTCGAGAGAGACTGTAGAGAGTGTGATATTAAGGAAAGCAAGATGCGCTTCTGGCGCGGTGTAAAAAATCAACGAAACTAACGTGGTGGAGACCACAAAACTCGGATTAAATACACCGATCGACTTCTTCTCGGCCGGCCAGACACACACAGACCGCGATTCTAGGAGAGAAGACGTGTATTTGAGTCGCCAAATATCTTTTTTTACGAGATTTCCCGCGTGCGCTCTGACGCGAGAACGCATGCGTGTGAATGTCTTGTGATTTTTCACGGAATTTTCTCTCCTCGCAACTTCCGGGAGGCATCATGATGGTTTTCGTAGTCAAATGGTGTTCACTTGACTCTACTTTTGATATTGTCACTGTGTGTCCTTAAGACTGAGCATTAGAAAATCAATTCAGTGACGAGACGGATGATTTCTTTTTCATCGCGAGAGTGTAAAAAATGCGTAAAAAGTAACATAAAACACAATGATAGACAGGTACGCATCAGTCTTTTGGCTGCATCTCACGAGGAGAAAATATGTACTTTTTTCTCAGCCAAAGCGCTCACCATGGCGAGTCCTCGGCGATTTTGTCTCCTTTGGCCAAACACGACAAAAACACCCATTTGGTCCGAGAGACACAACAAGAGCGCGTCCACGGAGTTCACTTCATTCTTGACGTGGAGGATTTATTAGATGTTTGTGGAATAAACAGTTTTTTGGATTAACTCGTACATGATGAGGCAGAATCTCTCTGCTCTCCGCTGACATTACTTGGGGGATACTGACTGATGTCATTCCATTGCGAAGATAACGATGATTGTTACCTGTGTATGGGTCTTCTCGGGGGCCCTCCTCACCGTCGGCCCACCCCTCGTCTACGCGCGATGTGAAGATCGTCGTGTGGAGACGGCAGAAATTATGATAAATGTGTCATAACAGAGTCACAATTCACCTGAGACGCTGCCATAGCCACAAGAGATTCACCAAATCTCCCCGCGAGGCTCCTTGGGATAGACTAAAGGGCATCCCCTGGCACTTCTCGCGCGGGAATGTCAGCTCTTTTCATTACGGGTGGAATAAATTGTTTGAGGAATTTTTCCAGGCTCTGTCTGAGTGGGCAAAAAGTGGCCAGAAGAATCTTTCTTTGCCGGGAGACTTGGAAGAATCAAAATGAGGCAGTTTTTGTCCATTCCACATCCATTGCAAATCCCATGTCTTTTTGTCCATCTCCTCCATCATCCTCAACTGATCGTCCTTCCTCGCCCTGTCTCCGCATACAGGCCAAAAATTGACGATCCACCCCGCGATTTCTTCAGCTGAGAAGATCCGGAGGCAGAAAACGAGAAAAGAAGTTGTGAGAATACCAAAATTGCATTCAAAGTCAAACAAGAGGTGCAGCAAAAAGCGAGTGGCGAATACCATAAGACAATGCGCGAAGGAATGTCCACCACAATTTGATTGTCAAATCACTCTGAGGTCTGGACAATTGTCGCCTCTGTGTGAATCCACTGAGTTATGGGAATTGATGATGGAAGACTATAAATTGCCGCGACTAGAAATCCATCTCTTGATGCGCCAGCTTTGACCAGATGGTCATCATCGCGAGACCCCTACCTTGGCCCCTATCAGTGTATCCTTAAATGTCTCAAGCAGCCAGATACAGTGAGAGATTTAGATCGCTCGTGATAGTTCCCAGAGATATCAATTGGAATAGATCTCTCTTGTGTAAAACATTTCACATCGTGTTAGTGATGCCTCAGTTGATCGTACTATTTGCCTCTCATCTCAAAGCCTTCAAGTCCCATGTCTTGCCACCACGACAATTTTCGTCCATTCAGTGGCTATTGTTAATCTCATGTTTGTGTCTCATCTACGAATCCCTAGTGACTCTCTATGTCAGCAACGCGTTTCTCTCACTGATCTTCCGACTCGCAAATGAATCAAAATACGTGGACAGTGCGCGAAAGGGGTATTCATTATGTGGAATTGAGTGGCTGAAAATCTCGCGACAGAAGTCAAAGAACTATGAATCAGAAGCTATAAAGTGATAAAATGCTAATGTTAGAACAATATATAGATTCAAAGACTATGATATATGAAAAGAAGAATTGTTTCTGGACACTTTATTCGTGGAAAGAAATTTCAATTTCTGGTAAATCTAGTGAGAAGATTTTATTGTTCGATCTCTAGACTATTTTGCGTGACCTCTGAATTCACCTGTGGAGGAAGCGATTGAGGGGTAAATGTATGCAAAATGTTGTGCCCACACTGTCTCAATGGATGATAATGACCAAGGAGATCTCGATGGTGGAGCTCAGAGATTGATACCCACACACGGCAGCACAATTTTGCTATTTGGCATAATTAATTGAATTCTAATAGATATGTTTTTTTTCCTTTAGGAAGATTATTTCACTGACGGAGTTTAATGAACTTCCATTGTCACATTCTCGTCAGAATGGCTGTTTGGTGAATAGAGAGAATGAGACTTCTTTGCCACTCCATCGTATAGGCTTATTTATTGCACATTTTTCTCACAATATTATGTGGGAAACAGCCAAAGATTGCTGTCTCCTGACACTCTTGTCTTCCCCTTTTTACACACAACATCACCTTCTGATGGTTGGAGGTGTCTTCCCCGGGCCATATCCCAGGAATCAATTGTATGCAATAAAGAAAAACAGCTTTTAGCAATATTTTAGCACACTCCGCAGCCACACTCATCTTTTTTTGCTCTCTTAACCATTTTGTATATGATTGCATGTTGCTGGGCTCTTTTTTATGCTCACCTCCTCAGATGGCAGCTATTTTTGTGAGATGCCTCAATGGCAGTGGAGATTGTCTTAATTAGTCGGGATGAGTGTATAAGAGTTTCTCGGCGACTCCCAATATCTTTAATAAAATTAATGTTAACAAAAAGGCAAATGAGTGGTATCGTGCCATTTGAATGCCCGGCCATCCGGCTTTTTGGGTGGGCGGACATCTGATGATATGCACAGCAAACAGTTTTGCAATTTCAGCCACCACAATCCACAAATTGATGGCTGTGAGTGCATTAATTAACAGGTGTAACACTCATCCCGGCCGCTCCAGAGACGAGAGAGTCACCTTCCAAGATAGCCGCGCTCTCTCCCCAGTCTCCGCACCCTGTCATGGTGAAGAGATAAAGAGTGGAATCTGTGGAATGCAATTAAAAAATGATTAGCGAAAACGATATATTTTTTAATCGTTGAAGATATTTCCGCTTATCCGTTTCACTACATTATGATGGTGAATCCTGGTTGAAACAAAACCACACAGAGATCGAAACCATTGGAAATACCACAATTTAATGCCATTGCTTTTCAAACACGTAGCGCGCAGAGATGTTTCACGCAAATTGAAGTTCATTCAGACGAGAAAAGACGTGTAATTATAGAAAATATTGTTACACAAGTTTGGCAATTATTAAGTTTTGGAAATTGCTATTATTCCCATTGGGTATTTTACTTGTGATCTTGTGTGAAAACTGCAAAAGTTTTCAATTACGTTTTATTCTCATTCAAGAAATATTAAAGTAAATGGCATGAAAAACTGTTATAATTCAATAATAAACGTAAGGATAATTCGGTGTCTCTTAATAAAAACCTCCTGTTTAGTTTAGATACTAGATGCCAGCGAACATTAGAACCGTGTTCGATTAACCGGCAGGCAAGAAAGAAGAGACAAAAGCAAGAGGTAGCAGAAGAAGCCACTGGAGGAGAAAAAGTTATGGAATTTGTGAAACCATACGCGGGATAAACATATTACATTTGATAATGTGGACAGTTTCAATAAAATTTATCGCTCTAATTAACATAACAGGTAGCTCTCCAACACACAGTTTGATTTCATTTATTAATGAGGGACCCAATTCTGACTCATTGTACTGCTGATTATTAATAACCTTTTACTTTTAAAGGTTCTCTCTGTCGACTCTTTTTCTTCTCACTGTCTTCTTAATGCATGCTCATCTCATGGCGATGAATCCACTTCGGAGACCGCGGATTGAGATGAGATCTCTTCGCTTCACATAATAATTTTCTTGTCGCACTCATAGTGGTGTCTGCAGATGGGGCAAATGGCTTATGGGCGATTTAATGTGACTCTTTGAAAAGTGCAAGTAATTTTATCGATATTTCGAATGAGTCTTCAGAGGCAGTTTCTCCCGTCTCTTTTTGTCTTCCTTGGAATTTGTCCAAGATAAAATATTATGTGGTGAGAGATGTTTGAGGAAATTTTCTCACACGATCGAGGTGAGATTTTTCTCATTGCACAGAACGCACACAAAAAAATTGAGGCATTTTACTTCGAGAGAAGTAAAGGAATTTTTGCCAGTAATTTCCCATCAAAAGGAGATGACCCTTTTCACCACCGCCTTCAGCCTCGGCATCGCTGCCATGTGAGAAGTGTGGTGCGAGTGGAGAAGTGGCGGAAAGGAATAACGATATAGCGCCATTAGATTTCACATACTTATTGAAATGTGTCAGATTTTCATCAAGACGCTATCTTGTGGCGTTCTTGCAAGATCTCTCCGCAGAGCTACCATGTAATTTGTAGAGCCAACACATTATCTCTATCTGTATCTCTTAATCTCTCAACATGCCCATATAATTACAATCTCTGCACACTATCTCGTGTGATCTGGGTGTTTTCTCATATATGTGAAGATCACCAGAAAATATTCCCATTAAAATCATCTCATTTTTGTTTTATCATCTCTTCCTCATTTAATGCCAGTATCGCAAATCGCACATTCTCTAACAAATTTTCTGCAAGAATCACTGAAATATGTTGGAAAACATGTGACCTAGAGAAGTGGCGAGAGAAACATTATTAAATTTGTGGTGTGCGCGTTGAAATGCAAATTAAACAATTTCATGGTGATCTTAGGTACATATGAAATGCAGAGGCGAAATGCAGATAACGTCTCGCATACAATTTTCATTGTTTATTTTCCCTTCAATCCATCGATTGCAGCATAATCAATTTACTGCAATAACGATAGCAATTTTCTCAAATATATCCCACCCATATTGTGCCAATAAATGCTCTTCTGAAAGATGTTTACTTCCATCTTTCAGATAATTTCCATAAATACCAGACTTTGTATCGTTGATTATTTGTGAAGAGCATTTTAAGGTGAAGGAAAATTACAATTTGGACACTTCTAGTGTATCATCTTGGGCAATTTGATTGGAATAGGAAAACAAAGAAGTGATCAATGTGTTCTTGTCAATTTATTAGGTTCGGTTTTCGTTAATTTCTCGATATTCTCGGCTAATACATTAATAATAAAAAAAAACATCTCTATCATTAATGCTATTAAGGGAAGAAATTTGTTGAAAAATTACCACAATCTGCTCATATATCATAAAGAAACCTCGACAATCCTCTACGAATTCACCCCGCAGGCCATGAATTACATCCCAGCATTACTTTTCCCATATGTTCTTCATGGATCGCAAATAAGCGTGTCAAAGTAATTCATGTGAAATGTTGAACTTTTGAATGCAGCGAGAAACATTGTCATTTCTCCTCCAGTATCTTTCGTGAAAGAGATCTCCGGAGGCTCTCAGAGCCATGGGTAAAGCGTGGTTGAGACCTACCTGATCGTTTTGGATGTAATATCATTGTTGTAACATTAACACCCGCTGTGTAACATTTTCATTTGTGTCGATCAGCATGGAACACACACTGGTGAGAACAATGAAAATGCTGTTTGTGGGGGCTGTGAACTCTTGCTCACCCAACATCTTCCGCCAGCCTGAAAGAAGTGGCAAATGGAGAAAAAATCCGTCCACGGTGGAGATTCTGCAAAGAAGCCGAAGATAGGAGTACCTCACTAAAGACATTTTTCACAGTGATTAATTGTCCACCCGGGAGAGATGCAAGTTTATGCCGACCGAGTGTATCGCCAGAGAGTCTGAAGGTGTTGACACTAATCGCGAATGGTGAAAATTTGTTGGATAATTAATTAACATATATTTCGGGGTGTTTTGCATGGCTCACATATTCAGACTGAGGGACACATTCTCGGGGCGCACAGATGATGATGAGGAATGTGCGGTGGACCTCCCAAGTCGTGAAATTGCAAATTCATCCCGCAATCGTGGTCTGAAGTTTCTGTTCTTTTTATTTCGCGCGCTTATGTAGGAAAATCCCTCAAGGCTTCATGCGCACAACACCCATCTCGCGATGCACTGGGTGTTCCTCTTCGTGAGAGAGAGAGACTCAGCAGCTTTTTCGAGAGGCATCAACTTTCGAGTGTCTCAATTGTTGTTGATGGAGAGAAAATTCACTCCATATGCGATAATTATGGTCCTTGAAACACCACCAATGGCTGCGTACATTGAATTAACCCATGGCAGTGCACTGCTTGCATTCTTGCCACGCAAAGGACAACTCAATTTGCCAGTGTCACAAATTTCAGCTTTCGATTTAATTGATCTGTCTCTGTTCGTTGTTCACCTGAAACGTGCTAATTTTTGGCAATCATGCGAAGTGCCGCAATTCAGGAATACATATCCATATGTTATAATATGCACAAGCCGCTACGAGCACACAGGTCCAAATTGTCTTATGCAATGTCTCACCTCTGGCGGTTTCTTAACGATATTCACGTCTCTCATGGTGATCTTAGCGGTATTAATATGCCAAAGTTTTTCCACTGTCGTCAATTAATTCATTAAATCTAATAGCGAATAATTGCGCCACGATGGTGCGAACACTAATCACAATTATCATTAAGCATCATCGTTGACTCTGTGCATGGTATTATATCCATATGAAATGCTCAAAAGGTGGGTTTTTCTCGCGCTCGCTCGCACTTTTTCCAGCCAAACCACACGCAGAAGCATAAAAGGAGATTGATGTGTTTCATTCTGCAGTTTATGACTGTTAATTCGACAGCGGGACTGCAGGGGAGGTAATTTTTGCGAGAGTGGCCCACTATGGAGGGCCATCAGCATCCACAGCTCATAAAAGTCCGCGCTTCTGGCGGAACATTTGCGGGACGTTGTGAAATAGCGCGATGAGAACAAATTTTTATTATTTGGGGAATGTGTGTTGGGTTGGAGGGAATGGGAAAAGAAGGCAAAAAGAGAGACACTTTGTCCACGGGAACTCATATCCACATTCTCTCATGATAAACTCCGCCCAACCTGTGGAATGGATCTGCCAAGATACGCCTACAACCAACACACTGCCAAGTGCATTACACTTTCATCCAGCGCTTATCGGATGGTGTGGAGAAACTCGAGAGAGAGACGTATGATGATGGGAAAATACTCTCTCTCTCACCTGTTGGTCCCTCTCACGCGAGGGTGTTGGAGCTTTTTCACCACATAAAGCTCTCGTGCTCGAAGAGGAGACGCCGTTCTGAGAAAATAGCGTTAAATAACGTGAATAGGGTGAATTATTTATAAAAACACACACGAGAAACACTGAGGCTAAAATTATCACTCAATTATCAAGCATGAATAATTATAATAATACGCCTGGGGAACGCAATACCTCACACAAACGTTTAGCATGTGAAAATAGAGTGATAAATAGTGCACTTTTCCCACCAATTACGCACAATGATTTCCACTGGCTGATGCATGCTCTTAAAACTAGATCCTGATCGTGGACTCTGCATCTCACGAGATACGTCGTCATTGCTTCGTTTCAGGTGAAATCACGCATCTTCACAATCGAAGTGAAATTTACACATCAAAATATTGACACATGCACGAGATGTGGAGGTGAGTTGGGATCCCAATATCGCGAGATGCAGGAAGACACAGTGATGGAGAAAAAAGAGCCCAACACTCAAACATAGAAATGAGTTCATATTTGAATATGAATGACAATAATGCGTGGGAAAAAATTAGAAAATCAAATAAAGAGTTTGTCACTAAATGTGTTAATAGTTATTTTGTGTCGCACCTGAGTTACATTATATCCACAAAGAAGACCAAAAGGTGGGGATGGCCAGTGTTTGCAGATGATGACAAAAAGACTCTGGGTGGACAAGGTGAGATGAATGGGAAGAAAACTGCCATATCTATATTGCTAATTATCATCTCCACGGACTTTAAGCTATGAGAGATGCAAGGAGCGAAGGTCTGTGGAAATACGTTTGTAAATAAATATTACGCGTGTTGGAGAAAGAAGTGCAGTTACTCCGCGAAGACATTCCACCATAAAAAACACAAAGGCTTGAAGAATTTTCTCGTCACCTCCACAGAAAGCCAAAAGAATCAAGTGAACTTTTGATGATGGGAATCATCTCCGAAAATCCCCGCTTCAAGAGTCACGATGCACTCTCAACCCCTTCAAAGTGAGCTTCTCTCTTCGATCAAAGAATCATCACTGAAAGGGTGCTGCCGATTAAATCAAGTACAAGGGAATGCAGAAGTGAATAAATCACATTGTCGGCACTTTTTGCACCATCACAGTTTATTTCATCTCGAGTGCTTATTTTGAAGATTAAAGATTTTCCGAAGGGTTCAAAAGACCCTCTCCGCCACGAACTCGCCCTCGCCTTTCCATTTAAATGTGAAAATGTTCATGTGTTTTGAATTTTGTGCGCAATACCTTTGATTCCAAGTTTGATTCAATGAAATTTACCTTTAGATCGGCGAATTTGTTTCTTTTGATGTACTAAGAAGGTCAAAGGAAAGATCCGATTATTTGGACATTTATTGAGTGTAATTTCGTGGAAAATATAGGCAAATACTTCATGCTTGTATTTCACCTTTCAGTGCCTATATACATATATCACCTAGAGTGCCTTCTCTAGGCTAGAGTTGTGACACAAAGTCATATCTTATCACGGTGTGATATTCCGCAAAGAAAACTCCACCTTCAATACCAACTTACCTTCAAAATAGCCCGAGAGAGAATCTGAGAGAGAAACAAGAGTTTGAGCATCACCCCTTTGTATATTGCTCTGCCCCTTTCCACCCCTAGTCAGTGAGTTGGTCACGATTGCGCAGATCTCTACCCCAATTAGTCATTCATTCGCATCACGCGACAATTGATTCCCTTGGCTATTTACACATGCACAAACCATCGAATCTGCCTCTCTCTCTTCAGCGTTAGAGGAAATATAATGTGAATGTGATGAGATCTTTCAATATTGTTACTTCCCAGAGACGCTCGAGAGTTGACGGCATGAGCATGTGCCTCTCTTTGGCTTCTTTGCCCATCAGTTCACCTTTTTTCCAAGCGCCAACCATACACATCATGACTTTCGGACCGTGATTTCAGCATCCTTCTGCGAGTGGTAGTGTTGTGAAATTGCAAGGAATGATGGTGAAACATCCAGTGAAAATGTTTCAGTGAGAAAGTTTGTGGAAAAATACTGGGTGACATTTCCTTCTCGGGAAGGAGACATGAATTATTGGAAAAATCTTCTGTGGAACTTTGTTCTTGTACTCTCCCTCATCCTCGTCACAAGGTAAGAGAACCTGGACGAAAAAAAGCTAAACAGAGAGTTGAGATGGGAACCGCACGGGAAAAAAAAACATATGATGGAATTTCAACAATTTTGTCCAATGTACGATTAAATATATTTATGATACCCACGGTTTTGCACTGAAAAATATCGAGACATTGGCATTTTTTGCCAAACTTGGTCATTCATCACACTGTATCAAGGTTGTCTGTCATGCCCCAACTATTATTAGTTTGAATATAGGAAAAAAACAGCGATTTTCAGATCATCTGCAGAAATTCATCAGTCGTCTGGTATTTTAATCTAACTGCCTCCCCTTCACAGATAATCTTCTTTGTGAGTTTCCGGTGAATTCTCCCAAAGGTTAAATGGCTTAAATGTGGTAAAAAATATCTCTGTGGCCTTACAAATAACATTTGATCCACATAGATTTGCTGTCTTTTCATTCATAGAGACAATTTAGGACAAGGAATTCTCTGAAAGACGGTTTAAACTGCCCTAATTGTGATGAAAATGTTATCAAGAATGTGACTTGTACTCTAATTTATATACATATAGAATGCATAAGAGACCAAAATTACTGACCGGGCATAAAAAAATAAGCGCCACTCCGTATCAGTGAATAAACGGCCAGAAGAAGTGGAGGAAGACTCAGACAGACGGCTCCCAATTAATAAAATTGGGAAGGTAAAAAGGAGGTCTTATCAGTGAAATTAAGATGAGAAAAAAAGTTGAATGTATTGCGATAAAGGGAATAAAATACGATTTGATGGACTATTTTCTCCCGTTGTCTCACAATGCCTTGAGGCATGCATTTTCCTCAGAAATGGTTCATTGTTTCAGTGTGGCTACGGAAGTTGCCAATGTGAGGAAGTGAAGTCACGTACTCCATTCTCATTGACAATTTTCTGTGGAAGGAATTGTGAATGAATTGTCCGGCGTCTAGAATCCCAGGAGAAGTGATCTTGGCCATTTATCTTAATAGTCCGAAAGAGCTTGAGAGGGCAAAGTGGTAGTGCTGATGGACTGCAATGTCGCAGTGAATGTGTCTTAAAATCTTACGTGAGTCCCAAAAGTTGGCAATTGAGCCATGGCAGAATTATTCACAAAGAGATAGAGATGAGCGGAGATTGTGTGAGATGCTCAGAGAATTCTTGTGACTTGGAGCAAATTTGCAACAAGTTTGCGATGGAATGGACAAAAAAAGAGATCCCCAGAAATCGATTTTTAATTTGATCATCCAAATAAAAGCGGCAATAGGGGAATTTTCCCACGATCAACTATAGAAATGTCTGTCTTGTTCTTGCACCACTAATTGGAGGAGCATCTCGTTCTTTGGGAACGCAAAAAAGACACTCTCGAGTGCTGATAATGACAAAATGGAATTCATACGATTCTGTATATGTCATCACACTGAACCAAATTGCCGAGAATCTCTCTGGCCATCCTCATTTTTGCATTCCATTTGAGAAATAGCTCGAGAGACTCCCAGAGATCTTCCTTCGGTGCACCCAGAGACGAATGAGAATGCATTCCTTAGGGTTTCTATTATTAATTTTTGTGTAATCTCCCCACCAGCAGAAATTTTTCTGTATGATAATGGGATCTTAAGGCATTGTGAGGAATTTTTCACACGCATTTCATTCGCTGGTGAAATTCGGGGAAAAGAGGCTCTCCCCGGAGTCGCAGAATTTCCAAGGATCACAAGCCAAAGGGTTTAAATTTCCATGTAACCATGGAGAATCTCAACCTTAGCTCGTGTCTTTCCGCTAAAACAGTGACTCACCAGCACGTGTGTGTGCACGAAAAACCACTATTGACATAACTAAGAGGGAAATTTTCCCATCCTGTGCCATAACATCAAAGGGATGCAAAATAATTAGTATAGTAATGAATTCAAGAGATGGGGGTTGTCAAGAGCGAAGAACAGGCAAAAACCAATGTTTCATTAGCGCAAGCAGAAAGCAGGCTTGAGAGACATCATCAGGAGAGGTGAAGATGACAATTGACTATCTTTCACTCTCGCAGCAGGCGAGAATTCACGTGGAATTTCGTCGATGAATGCATTAAAATTAATTAATATAATTAATTGCATCCAATTGGGAACACAGGAAAGTCATTTGGGTGCACCGCATTAAATTGAGAGAATGAGAAGCTGCGCGAGATTTAAGAGTGTCGAGTTACACTCGATGTTCTTGGACATTTTTCCATCGCTTTTGGCCACAGAGCCAGTGATAAAAGATGTCACACACCTGAATTATTCTCCTTCACACCTCTGAGGCCTCGCGTGGCGAATGTGGGGACATTTTTTCTGCATCTCATCCGGGCCTTTCTCTTCTCACCAGCAGCATCAACGTACCGACACTCTTGGATATGAGAATCATTCAGACAACATGCAGAACTATTCCGGGATTCACGAAGGAGCAAATTGAGCTCTGCCTGCGAGCGAATGACGTCACAATGGCAGCTCTCGATGGACTCGAATTGGCCATTCAAGAATGTCAGAATCAGGTAAGGAAGAGTTGCATTGGGGTTCACGGAAATTTTTCAATTAACCATCATTTTGGACAGTTTCGCTGGCACAGATGGAATTGTTCGTCTCTCAGCAACAAAAGTCGAAATCCTTACGCATCGAATCTCCTGAAAAGAGGTAGGAATTGCTTTTATTATTAACTATATTGTAGTGCACTAACGAAGACGTTGAGAGATTCATTTTGAAGTCGTTGAGTAAAAAGCAAATGTCTCGAGATGGAGGTTTTCAATAAATCCCCAGCCTTGTGATCTCATCGTTTAAGCTACGATACAATAAAACAATTCTTTTTTCCTCCACATGCATTACATTGTTGCAAAATCACAATCTAGTAAAATCTTCCACTGACAAAGCCATCATTACTCACTCAACGGGGCAGATTCATATATTTTTCGCAGTGGAAACTGCCGAGGGAAAAGCACACAAGGCGGGGGCATAAGCTCGAGGCGGAGGATTCCGTCTAATGGGCTTTCACGCGGGCTGTGGAAAAAGGCAATAGTGATCAATAAATTCCAGTTTACGAGGAGTTACAATCGTATAATTGGCATTATTAGCTATGCAAACAATTATCCAATAAATTTCCATTCAATTCGTGGCTTCTGTACTTGTCTGCACGCCGCAATTAATTTGCAATAAAAAAGCAAATTGAATTACTTGTCTATAAATGCAACATGCACTCGCAATATTTATTGCTTGTGACACACACACACCGATGTGTGCATGGTGTCTGCTGATTCGATGACAATTGCAAATGATCATTCATCAATTAAATCAAATCACGAGCGTGCGGTTGTGCACTTCTTGTTAGCTCAGAGAAAATATCCTGGGAATGGGAGAAAGACACCCCGGGCAAGGCAAAGGCATTGCGGAAATTGAGTTATTCAATTCACCGCTGCGTAGAGAAATGCTCGTGCAACTCCAAATGAGATGAGTTAGACAATAAATTCCGCAATCACACAACATTTAGCACTGATGGGGAATTTTTCAGGAGATGCTCACAATCAAGCTCTGTCTTCTTTGCCGCTTCCAGCTGACAGAGGCGACAAACGTCTTCTCCAGGTGGCAAAACCATTCAGTGTGGTTGCGAAGATGGAGGAGAAGAAAGGAATTAATTGTGATCTAGAACGAATTGTCATTGTTTTGTATGGACGAGTGTTATTCAATGGGAATTTCTTCATCGCTTTATGGCGCAAAAGTATTCAATGTTTTCCATGATGTGGTGAGAAGAATGCAGTTTATATGGACAGTATTCAAGAGCTTTCCATATATTTTGGTTGAAGAGAGCACGGAAAAGTTCTGGTCAGAAAATCCCACCGTGCGCGGATAATTGTTCATTTTCGAAGAATGCCTTTCATTTGCTCATGCATTACAAATAATTGGGATTTCTTCTGTCCCACAGCGACGCAGAGTTGCGTCTGAACGGAACGTTCAGTGTGTCACTCTGACCACTCTTAGCCACATTTTAATTGATCACCACAAACGAGGAGAGGCAAATAATCATGGGAAATGTGTGACACTTTGGACAATCACGGGAGACACGTGAGGGAAGCTGGGGAGAAAAAGAGCACAAAGAGGCGAAAGAAGGAAAAATTCCTCGATCGAAGGGGAGCCACATCTCTCAAGAGATGCACAAAGAAGTGTCCCATGATGGAGCAAAACAGAGGCGCGCTCTTTCGGATTCAGGCTTCTTCATCAGCCTCACCGTGCATTGTTGGGTCAAAAGAAACGACACGATGGCAGAGCGACTGTGGACGTAGAAAAAGTTGTCCAGCAGACATTCAACTCACTGTACTTGTCAAAATTCACAAAAACCAATAAAATTATGGCTCACCTTCTCCAGCCTCGGATCTTCTTGCGTCTCCGTCCAGAGAGAATAAAATCACCCATAGCAATGCTCCTGTATCGACTTTGATATTGTTTTTAAAGTGGTTTTTTCCGTCATCCAACGCATATGACTTTTTCTCTCTCTTTTTCCCCAGTGCAATCGCCACGAGAATCTTCGGGTTTTCTGGAGTCCAAAATAACGCTGCAGAAATAATTCCTACGCGGCCCAAGTCATCACTATGAGTTTAATAATTCTCCGAGGGGTTGATTAATTTCACATCTTCAATCCAAAACAGAAATTCCCACTGAGGTAAATGGCCAGCGAAAAGCTGCCATACAAAAACTCCTCAAGATGTGCATTGTAAAGTTCACACAATTTAATATCATTTAGCCATGCTATAAAATGCCTGAGAATTGATTCACCCCTTTGATATTTTATAATGCTGCCATCCATCCTTCTTGCTACTCTTGAAAAATTTATTTCATGTTTTTTCTCCTCACTCTTGCACACTGCAAGAGAGAATTCCTTCTGCGCAGAACCTTTACTTTTCTTCTTTGGGAATATGCAAGGGATTCTGTGCTGAAAGAAATATTTTGAAATTAGCACAAGTTTCGAGATCGAGGGGTTTTTTCGTGTGGAGAAAAACAGTGAAACATTCCACAGTGAATCGAAAAGTAACAGAGAAACATTGCATGATAAAAGGGAGAAAAGTGAGATTGAGATTTGGTGTTAATTAATGACACATCTTTTATTTTGCCAACTGCACACTGATAAAGCTCTTTTCTCTCCAACTTCCACCGTGCCTGTTGAAGATACTAAAGGAATGACTCTCAGAATAAATGTGCATTAATGTACCATCATTCTTCACCAAATTATACGCAAAAGGCGAAGGTGCTTTCAGACTTTGCGTACACTTCATCCCTCATGGTTATTTTGTATTTTATATCTGACTATTTTTCAGATGGCAAACTAGACATAGCGTAGTATGCCTTGAAGGGTTTTGTGAGTTGATAAAATTATTTTTAATTAGCGCAAATTCTTCTGTACTTGCGTTTACTGTGGTACATCCAGCACATCAAATTTATCTACCTTGTCGATTCTTTGAATGCCTCACTAGATACTGGCGAGCACAATTATTTCCCTCAAAAACATATCTGCCGGTGAATCGTCTTGTGAAAATATCCAACGAGTAGTATTTAATTTAAATAGCGATAAACTGACACTGTTGATATTGATATATGAAATAAATCTCTGTGCGCTGGGAGCTGCTGTGTTGTCAGCAAGTCTTCCAGGGAGACGACAGGCCGCGGCATCGGAGTGCAACCTCCGGCACTTTTGCATTAGATTTAAACACAAATACAGCCGTGTTCATATATCCAACCAATCGCTCTGCGGATGGCGCAGAGCATCAATTATGCGAGGAGGCAGCATTGCTTGAATTCGTAGGTGGTATTTTAGTCATTAGTACTTGTATTAATTGTCCATTTGTCAGTAAATCTCCGCCTCATTGGCACTTCTTCGCTCACTGCGAGTCGCACTCTTCTTGAGTCTCTTCAGGTGCACGAAATGGTAATGAAATCGCATACTGAAAGCGCACACACGCGGGCAGAGAAATGCAAATTGTACACCATCATCTGTGCCAATCGCATGGCAAATTGATTTCACATGACTCCTGCCCATCCTCATCAATTGTCTTTCAGGATGGTGGAGTGTTCGAATTTGTCAAAAGCGACCCGCGTGTTCAGCACAATTTACAATGTTGTGAATAAAAGTATCGCCCATCCATCCATCCGTCTTTCGTGGCTTGTCTTTTCTCCGGCTCTCCTTGCCATTCATCCAGCCTTAATCCCACACAATGCCCTCTCTCCACGCGCCCAGAATAAATGGAATCACTACTCTTATGGTAATGAAGAAGTTAAAGCCAAACTCACCCATCAATTGAATGTCTCATGTCCATCTTGCTCGCTCAATGTCACTCACATGGCGGCAAAATGCACTCTTTTGCCCCAGAGAAATTTGTGGCAATCGACTTGATCATTTGCATCCGCACAGTGATCGACAATTTGCAGATGGCAAGGAAGTGACATCAGCCGTTCTCGATACTTGACGAGACGTTGAATACTTACACTGATCTAATCAATTTATCGCCAATTTACGTGCAGCTCAACTATTTTATTTGCCCTTTGCTACCTACCTGACGTACACACCGTCATCCCGACTTTGTCACTCACCACTGATCGGCTTCTCACCCAGTCAACATGAAGGAATATCAACAATGCTACCATTTGTGAATATTTCCTTCATTCACATTCTACAGGCTGTCGCTAAATAATAGTGACAGTGTAGGGAATTCACCACAGCTCGTAGTGCTTTCTATCCCAATTTAACAACTTGAATTTTCGTATGCTCTCATAAATCTCTAACTAAGTGTTGTGAAGATTAAAGGTGATTGAATTGGAAAGATATTCAATGCATCAACATATCGGGAGATTGCGAATTCTCGCTTCTCGTTATCGCAGATCCCGGGCAATGGAAGTCCTTGTTGCATTGGCAATGAAGAGGAAGATCACTGGCGAATATACGCACAACATTAAAAGAGAGTTTTACATGGACTGTAACTGCATGTTTCTCTCTCTCTCTCTCATGTTTATGTTTTCCCTCCCAATCAATTTTTCTCTCTATTCCATCGATTACCGCATTTAATTCTACCCTTGATCGCGATCGGACGATCACTCCGAGACAGTGAATATAATGTCTGCTCATTCTGGGATAAATTTTAATGTCAACTTGAACTCCACATGGAAAAGAGATCCCCGAGAATGCCTTTTCACACACAGCAACACCGTAAAATGTCTTATTGCAATGCAAATTGTACAGAGATCGGGAGCCATCGATTGAACGATTGCTGATCGATATCCAATCTGTCCAGCGACAATTCGATTTAGTGCCTCCAGAAATGTAATTTATGTTCTTATTTCCCATTGATGCAATCCCCACAGTGACAGGCGAGGATAAATTATGTGCCCAACATTGCATATATCGCGATATGCACGTCTTGTGGTTGATTTGCAGGGACAGAAGACATCGCGAGGAGAGATTTCAATGTGCAATCATGGGGCGTGCAACAAAAGCATTTCGTCGGGACAATGCTGCCCTCTCTTCTCGTTCTTTCGGGGTTCCCGTGAGACGATATAGGCATCATTAGTGGATGGGACAATTGTATTCACGACTCTTGAAAGCCATCCTTTTCTTCTGCTCTTTCCTTCACTCTGATTGCCACTGCAATTGCCACAACTCTGAACTGTTTGTCTCACGATGAGAATCTTTTAATTACCGTCAAATTCATTTGAAATTTCATATTGATATTCTCTCTCTTTTCCATCTGTCTGCTCATCCTTTTGCTGCCCGATGAAAGATTTGTGATCACTGCCGACGATCTCACTGATCGCTGAGCTGATGATTGTTTACTGATCTTATGTCTTTTTTCAGGATACAGAGAAAGCGCCTTTGCGTACGCAATTGCGGCCGCTGGAGTGGCTCACAATGTGGTAAGAATATTGAAGAAAAATTCCAATAATATGTGAATTTTGAAACCCTTCTCATAATCACTTCTAGGCAAAAGCTTGTAGTCAAGGAAAGCTTCTGTCTTGCGGTTGTGATCCATCCATTAACCGTCGCGGTCTCAGCAAGTATCTGAGAGAGTCCGTGATTGAAGATCGCACCCTGAATTCAGTCAATTCCATCGATAAGCAGAATATTCGGTCTCGAATGGCGCATCGTTGGAAGTGGGGTGGATGCTCTCACAACATGGACTTTGGGGAGGAATTCGCTGAGCTCTTCCTGGATGTCCGAGAGCGCGGCGGTGACATTCAGTCCCAAATAAATCTGCACAATAATCGTGTTGGCAGGCGAGCAGTGGCCAACAACATGATCATCCGCTGCAAATGCCATGGAATGTCCGGAAGTTGTCAGTTGAAAACTTGCTGGCGATCGGCACCGGAATTTTCAGTCGTTGGAAGAGTACTGAAGCAGCAATTTAGGAGGGCTGTTCTTGTGGATCAGTCGAATATTGGGAACGGACCTCCAATGGTTGTTGTGAGCCATAAGAACAAGAAGAGGCGAAAAAATAGGCCATCGAGGAAAACGCCAGCTGGACGAATGTACAACGGGGGGCTGAGAAAGCTGGAGAATTCTCTTTTCTACTATCAGAGATCACCGAATTTCTGCGAGAAGGATTCCAACTCAGACATTCCAGGTGAAAACTTCGCAAATTATCGCATGTTCAGATTAAACAATCATAGACGTTAACAGGAACAACTGGGAGGAGATGCAACAGAACGAGCTCTGGGAATGACGGATGTGCTTCTCTCTGTTGTGGCCGCGGCTACAGCTTGATCCGCGAGCAGAGAGTCGAGAGATGCCATTGCAAGTTCCACTGGTGCTGCTTCGTCGAGTGTCAACGTTGCGACGTCGAAGAGTGGATCAGTATCTGCAACTAAGTCTCGGAAATTTGTCTAAAGAATCAGTATTACATCTATTTAGTCTTATTTAATCATGTGAAAAGAGTGAAAATAAATGTTAGAAGAGAACAATCGGATCAGAAGTCGTCTCATGAACTTTTACTTCAAAGAGAGTTTTTGGGAAAAATCAATGGACGAACCTTTGCTAAGAGTTTCCTAAAAAATCCTGCTATAATTTCCCTGAATACATCCGTAATTATCTTCTTAAAGTCTTATTTAGAAATTCTTCCTTATTGCACAAGGTTTTGAAAAGGACTAAAGGGAAAAAAGCAGTGAAAATGAAAAGAACAGAAGACAGCTCAAGACTTATTCATTGCACATCTCACACGGCTAATCAGGCAGAAAATTGTTCGATAACAATCTTAATCCTGAAATCCCCTGGAAGACAGATCTCAGGTCGAGACATGACCATTGACGGCCTTTGGTGTGATGATGAGAGTGAATGAACACTGCCAAATGTGCTCATTTGTTTCCTGGGTATAATTCACTTCTGCATTGCAGAGAGACACAATTGTCCAGATGAATCTCCAAACGAGCACCTCCTCCTTGGCAAACAATACCGAAGAGATCACTTGCTGTCGGTGTGTTGTTTGAAGACAAATTAAATTCAATCAACGAAACGTTAAGAAATGCTTTTGTTCACTTTGAAGGTGAATTTGACATGGATACTCCACCTTTTGAACACTTTCCTCACATACACAGATTGAGGGATTGGATTAGCAAAATGCCTCTCTATTCTCTCTTCGTCATTTATGGAGTGTAATATTCTGCGGCCCAGCCAAGATGAGGAGAAGATGTCCAAGTGTATGTTTTGTGAATGAAACATACCCTGAATGAAAAATATAATTCGAATTCTAGAATTTATGTGAAAACACTGGATTTTCCAATTAATAAACTTGTCCGCTTAGTTGCTAATATTTTCTAATTCCCTTTGATGGTGTTTCGTAGGAAGCGTTGGGCACATTTTCTCATACACCCTGACCTGGCGACCACTTTTATGGCTTCACGAAGAAATCGAAATTACTTGGCAGGTGAATTGCTGAATGAGCAAGGCAGAAAATTCAGTTTTTCGCCGACTTTTCGCACGTTCGCATCGAATTTCTAATCACTCTGAGAGAACATAAAGAAAATTCTTGAGATTCTTTCGAAGATCAGCTAAACCGCAAAATTTCCCCTCTTTTTTGACTTTAAAATTAATTTACACTTGAGAGAAAATTATCTGTGAGATTTGTGCAGATTGACAGAAAGAAGTTTTATTCATTTTCTTATTTAATTAAATTACATATAACCCTCAGGGTTCGTTTTTGCTGCACTCCGCGGGCTTCCCTAATTGGATAAGATATCTCGGAAATCAGATTCAAGTCAGTCAGTCACTAAAATGAGCTACTTGCGATTGGACTCTCTCCCGGACCCAGGGAATCGCTACGAGCTTGGGGAAGTGATTGGCAATGGAGTGTGTGGAAAGGTGCTTTTAATTTTTCAAAATTTCTGCGAATTCGTGCTGAATTTTATAAGTCTTTCCACAGGTTTACCGAGCCATCGATACTCAGGTTAATGGCAGGAGTGTGGCAATTAAAGTTCAATCCTATGATAAAGAATTGAGAATCCACATCGATGAGGAATATAGAGTCTTACGGGACTTCTCAAATCATCCGAATTTACCACAATTCTATGGTGTTTATAGGAAGAGGGTTCCTGGAGGCTCGGATGAGATTTGGTTTATTCTGGAACTCTGTGAAGGAGGACCTGTTATTGATCTTGTTCGCCGTTTGGATACTCTTGGGAAACGCTTGACTGAAGAGCAAATTGCTTACATTCTACGAGAAGTGGCTAAAGGCATTTTATATCTTCATTCCAAGCACATTGTTCACCGCGATGTCAGAGGATCCAACATTCTCTTGACCCATGAAGGTGAAGTGAAATTGTGCGATTTCGGACTCGCCAGGGACATCAAGACAACTCTTGGGAAGAGAGGAACCAACATAGGCTCGCCGAACTGGATGGCCCCGGAGATATTCTCTGGCAGCAGGATCGATGATGAGGTGTATGGGAGTCGTTGCGACGTGTGGGCTTTGGGAATAACTGCCATTGAATTGGGAGATGGAAATCCTCCCTTCAAAGATATGCATCCCACGAGAGTGATATTCCAGATCATGAGGAATCCTCCACCAACTCTCTACCGTCCAGCCAACTGGAGCCAGAACTACAATGACTTCATCTGCGAGTGCCTTGAGAAGAATCCTGAACATCGTCCTTTTATGGTGGAAGTCATGGAGCATCCTTTCTTCACTGAATTGCCAGAAAATGACTATCACGTGAGTATTTTATTTTGCGGAAAGTGCTTTGAATTGGGCCACAAAGAAAGTGTTTGTTCTGCAGTTGTCACAGGAATTGAAAGTGCTTCAGCAGAATGTAGAACCGAGAATTTTGGCAGATCTTCCGCAAGAGATATCGATTTTTAATAAGTGCATGAAGAAGTACGGTGCAAAGCCTGTAAAAATGTACGTCGAGGATTTGTCAGCAATGGAAAGGCTTACTGAGGAATCCATTCTAAATGAACTCCACTGTCGACTAAACGATGGCCACTCGTACACGTTCGCAGGTGATGTTCTTATTTCTATAAACTCCAACGATTTATCAATCGACTATCCCACGAGTGTAAGTAATGTTTAAGGAGCAATTTCACAATTAATATTATGAGAATTCTATTACTTTCTAGTTTCATAGCAAATACAAGTTCAAGTGTCGTTCTGACAATGCTCCACATATTTTCGCGGTTGCTGACAAAGCCTATCAAGACATGCTTCACCATGAAGATCCCCAACACATAATCCTGGCTGGGGAAAGCTTTTCTGGCAAGACTACAAACTACAAGCTTGCTCTCAAGCAACTCAGATTTTTGGGAGAGGGGAATCGCGATATCGCCGAAAAGGTTATGAAAGCCTCAACTATCGTCGAAGCGCTGACTCACGCAGGAACACCTACTAATTCCAATTCTACAAGATGCATTGTCCAGAATCAGGTGACTTTCGGCGCCACGGGCAAGTTGAGCGGAGCAGTCTACAATGTTTTCCTGCTAGAGAAATCCAGAGTCTCCGCGATTGACATGTAAGTTACGTTATATTTCTCCATAAAAATTATCAGAATTATTTTTTCTTAAAATTCAAAAGATTTTAAATGTGTGAATTATTAGCAACATTTGTATTTCGCTTTTAAAATGCATTACCCCTGTCCTTTATGTATGAAGCATATGCTGCATGATATCTACCGTGTGTCTCGGCTAGAAGCTTCATTGGCCGGAAGCATTTTTCCCACCCTTTTTCCGCCTGATAAAATGCTGAAAATTGAATAATATCCTCACGCAAGGATTTTCTATGCAGGACCCAAAGCAATTTTCACATATTCTACTACTTCTACGACGGATTGGCTTCACGCACTCGCCTGGGGGAGTTTATGCTCGACTGCGGAAGGAAATATCGTTACTTGAGGATTCCTGACATCGCCGGAAACTGCAAAAGCACCCAAATCCGGGACGACGTGGCGGGAAATGCGGAGAAATTTGCTGAAATTGAGCAGTGCCTGGTTGATTTTGGGCTGTCTGAAGAGCAGTTAACCTCTTTCTGCTGCATTCTCGCGGCTATTCTGCTCCTGGGTGAATTGAACTTCCGGGAAGAGGAGGGTGTCGGCGAGCTTGAGAATGTCGAGATGGCGGCCAGGGTGGCCCGTCTGCTTAAAGTGGAGGAGAAGAAGTTTGTCTGGGCGCTGCAGAACTACTGCGTTGTGGAGAAAGGCTCAGCGGAAAGGAGGAGACATACCGGAAATGAAGCGCGCGATGCTCGAGACGTTCTCGCTGGAGCGCTGTATTCGCGACTTGTGGACTGGATTGTCAACATCCTGAATCATCAACTTACCATCTCGCGAGCGATTTTGTAAGTTGCCTGGAAAATTCCCTGTAAATTGAACACGTCCCTAGAATGTTGGTCAGATTTGCACTGTTGATATGGAAGATTCACGGGCTTTCCAATTCCAGGATGGGAGGTTGCTAAATTCCATTTCCTCAAAGCTTTTGGATATTTAATGCGAAAGATTAAATCTGGTGGCATGCTAAAATGAGCATGAGTTGCGCCTTGGGAGAATCAATTTCATGTTAACGTTTCAAGAATTCAGATGCTGATTTTTTATTCACTCCCATGTATATTATTTACCACCTGCAGTTTCCATTGAGATGCTACTTTCACTTAATTTTGGAGGAGGCAATCAGGATATTTCCCTCAATGGATTCACTTCGTAAGCAATCCTCTGGAGGAAAACATCCTGGCAAACGGAGGCGCTCCGTGCCAAATCGGACCAATTTTCTAAGGCATGCCCCAAACCCTCGGCACTTTTCGCCTCCTGACTGTCGCCTTGCGGAAGATGAAAAACACTCTCCACTCTATTAATATTCCACGAGCTTACCCAACTTGTTGAACCTTATTTCTCATCCCCACGCTGGCGATGGAATGCCTGCCAATACAGTGGTGACGCTCACTCAATCACCCTATTGGACATGTTCGGCTTCGAGTGCTTCCCGCGGAATCGTATGGAGCAGCTCTTCGTGAACTGCTTCAACGAGCAGATGCAGTACCATTTTAATCAGAGGATGTTCGTCTGGGAGATGATTGAGCAGGAGGAGGAGCAGATTCCTGTGATTAATTTCCGCTTCTACGACAACAAGCTGGCAGTGGATCACGTCATGGCCAAACCGCACGGACTTATGACTTTCCTGGATAACGCCTCCAGATCCCGGCTGAGCCATGACTTCATCACGAACGCCATCAACTCACGATCCAGTCAGTTCGTCCGCCGCGTGACTCCAAACGAGTTCTCCCTGGCACACTACACAGGCCGCGTGACCTACGATGCCAGAGACTTTCCGGCCAAGAACAGGGACTTCCTGCCGCCTGAAGTCGTGGACACTTTGAGAGCATCTGTGAATACGATTGTGAAGACTCTCTTCACCAATCAACTCACAAAGGCAGGCAATCTCACGATGCCCTTCGACGAAACTCAGCTGAACGTATTTGGTGACCTGAGGCAGAGCAAAAGGTCAAAATGGGGAGTCGCTCTCGTCAACGAGAGGCAAATTAAAACAAAGGTAAAGTGTACTTCAAAAGTGCCTAACTTGTTGAGTGTTTAGTTAACAAACGTTGTTTCTGAACGTTCAGATTCATGAAAGATTCACCCCTGATTCAAAATCCAGTCGAGAAAGTTACAAACTGATAAAAAAATATTGTTAATCACAATGTTTAAAAATGGATACAATTATACTGAATTCAGTATTAATCGCTTGATAAAAGATTATCATTCGAAATGATAATTAATTTAACTGAATTCAATGTTTGTATACACACATCATTTAAATGTACGAAACGTTGAAATTTATTTCGCCATTCTGGCCAATTAATTGTGAAATGAATAGTTAATTCCATTACGTGGTATGTGGTGTTAATTTATTCTAAATGGCCGTTAAATTATTGGCAGCTTCAGTTTCGCTGCGACTAAATGATCAACAGTTTTGTCATCTCACGTTTTGTTGATTCAACCGTCCAAGTGCTGTGCTATGGCGAGACTAAGCGACAGCAGTCGAATACTAAATAGCTTTCGTAGTATGTACAATTAATTTTTAGCACCCACGTGAGTCTCTTGATTTCTTTTCTTGGTACTCGAAGTGGCAAAAATTGCAATTCGTGAGGGTAGGCAAGTTGACTCTTTTGGTGAAAGTTTCATGTGCTCTCTTGCCTCTTTCAATTTGCACGTGAATTGGGGAGTTTTTTTTCACACTGAAGAAGTGACATAATTTGGAGTTTTTTTTTTGCTGTGGGCGTGTGTAGCCTCAATAGCTTCAATTTAATTTCCCATCTCATGTAATTGAATTGAGTTTGGTGTCTCCACTGGGATTTTCTAAGCTTTCACCCTATACATTTAGCTTTAAGGTTTCTCCAAAAGCAACATTCGGTATTAATATTGAAGTTTTGAATGTCTCTTGCAGAAAATCAACACGTTGTCGCATGGGGCGTACTCGCAAGTTCATCAAATGCGAACACTGGCATCTGTTTTCAGACACACTTGCCTGGAAGTCCTTCGATCTTTAGCTGTCGCGTCCACAAGTTGTGGCGTGCATTTCGTGCGCTGCATTAGGGCGGACTTGCAAAGCCAGCCCAGGGGCTTTCAGCCTGACATGGTGAGACAGCAGCTGAGAGCGATGGCTGTAGTGGACACGGCTATCGCCGGCCAAAAGGGCTTTCCCTACCGCATTCCATTCCCTGAGTTCTTGCGGCGCTACAAGTTCCTCGCCTTTGACTTCAACGAGAACGTGGACATGACGCGGGACAACTGTCGTCTTCTGCTGGTGCGACTCAAGATGGAAGGCTGGGCCATAGGCAAGACAAAGGTGTTCTTGAAATACTACAACGTGGAATTCCTCGCACGCCTGTATGAATCGCAAGTGAAGAAGATCGTGAAGGTCCAGGCGATGATGAGAACATTTCTCGCCAAGCGGAATTTGGCTAGCAAATTGAAAAAGTTACACCATCAAGACTCAGTGGTGCCGTGTCAGCAGCCCGACGTGGAGAAAGCTGCTCTGTTCATCCAGAAAGGTGAGTCAGACTCCGACTCGACAGATGAATAAAAGCTCACATTTTGCTGACACCATGGGTGAAATATTTTGGCCCATCCTTTTACCGTGCCCCATTGACACGAATTCCACGCTGGAGCGCGATGAAATTTATTGGCAAGCTATCTCACTGTTCGGATCACATTTCCTGTAATCCAATTCATAGCATTAGAGCAGTATTAAGGATTAAACGACCAGTATTTGTCGTGATTATTTGTGCTGAGGTAGCAATCAATTAGAGAAGTTTTAGTTTTCCTTATAACCAAAAACTTATATATTGTGTACCTTAATTCTCTTCAAGAATTTCTCTTACATATTTCAATCTACTTATAATTGTTATCCACTTGAGACCTTATTAAAGTGGTAAAATTTAAAAATCTGTAAACATGAAGCAAGTGAAAATTTGAGAATAAAGTTGAAAGTTCATAGAATATTTGCTTTCTTACTCACCCCAAAAGTGTATTGCATATGAAATATATGTACAACTTGTTTGCATGTACCCCACATTATATTTCAACCGTGCTCATCAATTTTCATGATCTCACTAAAGGGTTAATTCATAAATATTTGAGAGGGTTGATGATACAAAGTTGAAGGGAAATGCATTAATCAGCAAGTCGATGATGAAAAAAATGCAAACCATGATGCAAACGGAAAAGCGCAACCATCAGTTGAAATACATAGTATATTTAGTATAGAATGTCATGATTGAATGATTTCCCGTAAATACCCCCATTTTTTCAATTGGTAATTATGAATCAGAGACTGCACGATCAATTCACTTCTAACAGATTGCGCAATTAATTTCAATTAATGCTTTTTATCAACTGTCAATAAACTTTTTTTTTCCAATGAAAGAGCTCTAGAATGCTTTGCTATGTATTTTTTCAGCTTATCGTGGGTACATCGTGAGAAAGCAATATGGACCCTTGATTTGTGCAAAGACCGGCAAAATTGACGCCTCCACAGCGGATTTCGTGAAGGGTTTTGCCCACCGTTGGCGCTCAAAGTCAGTGTACCAAATTCTGCTGCAGTATCGCGCAGCCCGGTTCCAGGATCTCGTGAACTTCTCCCAGCAGGTTCACATCTTCAATCAACGTCTCGTGGTGGGTGTCACTCTCTGCGCTAGCTGCGTTTTGCTGGAGCGGGTGGATCCCAAGGAGACGGCGAAGAGTCTCTTGGGCATCCGAATGCCAGCCGTGTGGAAGCTCCCCTTTCGCTTGGACGACATCCCCTTCTTCGACACATCCTTCATGTGCCACCCTGGGGGACAAATGGCCCCACTTTCCGCGGATTCGGATGACGAGGCATGGGACGCACCAATGAAGCGTCGCACCAATTTGTCAGCCGAAATAGCGTCCGCCACCCACAGCGCCTTCGTGGACTCCGGCATCCCGGCTGCTCAACTCTCGTACGGACTAAAGAGCAATTCCATCCTCAATGAGCCCTTCTGTCGGGAATTTACCAGTACTCCACTGAAGAGGTAAATATAGCCAAGATATGCTCGCTCACAAAGTAATCCCCTAGAGCTCCCACAATTATGCAAGAATCTCTGTCGATGGGCGTCGAAATGGTCGATTTAAGTCTGTCGCCTTGGCAACTTTTTAATCTGCACAAACTTTATCTTAATTTCCTATTGCTATTTCCTCACCACAAAGCACAATTGTGTTTGTGTTGCGAGAAAAACACTATACATTCAAACCGCCGTCTCTCAGTGACACTGTATATCCAGATTAGCTTACAAAGAAATGCGAAGCCTTTCATTTGTCAAGGTGATCCAGAATTGTGCGAAGCAGATCTTCTAAATTAAGACTTCTTAGGGCTTTGACTTTTGGAAAATTCTGTTAATCTCAATCTTGTCTTACAAAGACGTGCTCCTCAGCCACCAACAATACCACACTCACCCAGCAGCTCTCCTCCAGCTCGCTCTTTGACTCCCTACAAGCATATTAGCGTGGGTGAAATGCTTGGAAAGTTTGATGATAGTGTGTTAATGACGGGACGAAGTGTGGCGTATAAGAAGCGACAAGCTCCTCAACCACCAATCGATATAGCCAACGGACACAGTTCCATCCCAAGATCTGAATCAGGAGCATCAGATTTGGAACAAAGATGTAATGTGGTGGATTATTCGCTAAGGAAAATTGATCCAGTGCGTGAAATGAAAATGCTCGCCGAGAGAAACAACATGGAGGAGGTTGGGAAAATAGTATAATGCGCTGAGAGGATATAACACATTACTTACGCATTGCAGGAAGAGGACAAACCACCATTCAACTTCCAGGGAATGCTGCGGAAGACGGTCTATAATCGAGCATCAATGAAGCGCTCCACAGAGGGTAAGATGTCCCTTCCTCAGGAGGAATACCATCAGACAAATGGAAGTGTATCTCCAACAAATAACGTTGTGTTTGAGAGTCGTGTGTTGTCGCGTCCGAAGTCTTCGCAGGGCATTCTAGATGACAATTTGAATGATTCTCTGAGTCCCAGTTCTAGCCAACGCTTGAGAAAACTCTCCTTACAGCAGGAAAATCTTCTGATTATGGGCGATTCCAATGAGAACCATCTTCAGACTCTTGGTGAGTATATTTGTGAAGAGATTGCACCCGGAATCATTCTCGAAGGTTATGCTGATGAAGTTTGAACTTAAAACAACTTGCCCTATTTATTTAATAGAAATCAATTCCACATTATTTATGTTCTCACGAGTTATTGTTTCTCGCCAGAAACACATACGGTGAGCAAAATATATAATAAATTATGATATATGTGATTTTGATTTTTTCCTCCCCGCATTCTCTTGATACGCCATTAAATCACAATCAAAATCTTCCGAGAGTTGAGATTATGCAGTGGAAATCTTTATGAGATTCTCTCACTTTGGTTCTGTGCATTAAAATGAAAACAGCGATTTGAACATTTCGGTGCAAGTCAGGGTATGTGTATACGTAATATACATATAGCATCGCTTCGGGGTATCCTTAGAAATTCCTATTCGCTTGCAATTTCCTATGGGGTTGCAATATTTTACGATGGTATCACAAACAAATTTGTATGTACGAAAAGCATATGCATGATACATCATCATTTTTAATTGCTTTGATACTAGAAAGTCGACAGGCTCATTTGCCATTCAACCACACATTCCAACATTTGCATAAGTTGCATATAATGAGGATTTTTCAATATGTTTGACTTCAAAGAGATACTCAACAGTGCACATATGGGGGTATTTCTGCCAGAGACCAATATTATGCATCGAGTGATGTGCAGGAAGACGAAGGTGGAGTGTTTCATGAGGAAAATACCATGCATGCCTCCTTCTCCCTTTCGACCTCAACCCAGTGGTTTTACGTTCGACATCTCACCCCACTGAGCCTCCTGTGCTCAACGTCTAAAATAAATTCACTGATGGCTCATTGCTGGAGTTCGGGGCAGAATGCATTTGTGACCCGGCATGATTATTGATGCTCCACAGCCCTCCGGCATTAAATATTGACATGACTATCCGGGTCAGTAAGTAGAATTCGTGGCCATTAAATAAACACTCCATTATTCCTCTGCATACACGTCTATTTGACTATCCAATATTCACTCACTGATCGCTCAACTGTTAGTTCTAATGGACAAATTTATAGAAAATAAAAATCACCTGAACTTCGCTCTGTTCCTTCACATTTTTTATTTAATTTTGTTGTAATAAAACTAATGGATGAATTGATACAGATTTTTTTTTACTTTTCCTCCGTGTTTACACTAATTTTCCCATTAATTACCAAATCTCAGATCATATAAGATTGATTTAAAGTCATTCCTATACGTGAATTACGGTTATATTTGGCGTTCAGCTGCAACATTATAACGTGCAAGAAACAGTGAGAAAAGAATCGCAAGCAAGAGCCTATAATATTCATAAAATCATAAAGCTTCCAGTCAATTTAATTCAATTTATCCTTCGTCGTCTGTAAGATTGTCTAGGAGCATTACAAACGCGCTGTCATCGTGCTTTTTCCTACCGTACCTTGTTCATCACGTGAAATCACATCATTAAATGTGCATAAAATCCTGCCCTCAGGTAAACGAAATCCACAGTAGAAATTTGCATTATTGTGCCTCGTCTCTCCATCATGTCCCTCGCCTTATATTTAATTAGAATTCTCTCAAGCAGCATGATAAATATAGACATTATGACGAAAAGGCAAAGGGAATGGATGAAAAACGAAATAAAGTGAGCGAAGAGACAAATTTTCTCAGTTCATAAAGAGATTTCTTATGAAATTTTTTCGCATAGAGCCTTGTTACCCTCACAACGCCTTGTCGATATAATTCTAAGAACAGGGAGGGAGAGATGTCTAAAAAAAAAGAGCATGAAAAGCTCCTTCACTTGAACACATGACATTTACTTTGGGGAACAATAAACAATGATGAAATGAACTTTTCTCCCTGAATTCGCATTTAAACTCTTTTCCACGAGAACAGAAAAATACGTAATGCTCCGAATGTAAATACGAGGTAAGAATATAACTTTAGAAATCCACTTTTGCTCTTGGCGGAGCATGTCACTCGTCAGAATCATTTTTCATGAATACATTTTATGGATTCTCTACTGATATGAATTTAAAGTTGGTGTCAACGTGGAAAATATTAGGTAAAAATATGATCCGAGATTTTCTAGTCTACGAAGAACAGAAGACTGCACAATTTTGTTCATCAACTGCATTGAGTCGAAATATTTTTTAAGTCTTACACATCTATCCTCAATGAAAGCCAATTCTTCTCTCTCTCTCTGACCCTGTTCAATTAATTGGGCAGCAAAGTGGCGTTGTAAATGTTAGTGCATAAATTTTGACACATTCTCAATCATCATGCCCATGTCTTGAGGATAATTTTGTCTTGGAAATACCCCAAGAGAAATTATTCACATATTCAGTGTTATTTGTCCATGTTGAGTCAGTTTCTCTATCTGGGGATGATTCTCTATTCCAAGGAAAATCAAACAAATCTATCCAAGTGGAGAGAGCGAGAGAGTGTGTGAGATTGGACAAATGATCTGAATGTGTGTGCTTTATGAACCAACTCAGGGGCGAATTCGATATCTGTTCGGTCCTTAAATTTCATTTAGCTCTGCAAGAATTTCTGAGGAAACTCATGTAACTGCTCACGCCTTTGGCAATAGGGTGAAATTTTCTCTCGTAGTTTGCAGGCATAAAGGATTCTCAATTGCATTCGACCATTCTGTGAAATAGTTACATGAGTGCCAGTCATGTATGCTAAATACAGCACAAATGCTTTTAGTGGTTCCTCTACTCATCTTCTATCGTAATGCTGTGTTATGAAGTAAAATTATCGAGGCTAAGAAGTGAATAATTATTTTCGACTATTTGATAAAAACTTCTCGTAGAAAAAGTTTAATTGAAGAAATTTTACAGAACTTCTGCAGCATGAGCCTTGACAACATTTTCGCCCAACAATTCTTTGTTTGCTGGATAGATTGCATTGATAATTTCCGTAGAAATTCTACGAGACTCCGAGAATGTTGAATTAATTTAGAGAGAAGTCCAACTCCATGGAAGAATGTGTCGAGAACTCGGTCGTACAGCGATATGTTGGACACGAGAGTTTTCACTAAAATTTTCTGTGCTGCTTCTGCGAAAGCCGCAGCAGCATTGTTGTCACTTTCCTGGGGAATATTGTGGGAATAACCACGATGTCTGGAAAGGATGAGGTCAGATGCTCACCCTCTTCACTTCCAGTTGGCATGGCGCCTGCGTGAATTACTTCCCCATGAATCTTTACCCCTCATTTGAAGATTGCCGATGGAAATGCAGACTCAGGCAGGAGAATGGAAGAAAAGGACTGTGAACGGCATTTCCCTCTCTCCGGTGTTTATAACTAATTTTTCTCCAACTGTATTTCTTTAAAAGCCAATCAATTGGCTATTTGGCGATGGAAAAAGCCGGACAGGAAATTTATAGATGCGCGCAATCTATATTTTTGAGTCAGAAGGATTGGAAAAAAGCGGAAAGAAAACCATTTATTTTCCATTGAATTCACTCTCATGAAGTCTTTATCTGTGTGCCTGTGTCCGCTCTAAATAATTCAATTCTCATCCTTCGTGGCTTTCCTAAGCTTTCCCGCCCTTTTCACAACTCCTCCCTCGCACGCTTTTACTGTTCGCGCCACAATTCACGTGAGACCAGACGAAAGCTCACGTGGGAGAGTGTGTAAAAACTACGTGGAAAAGTGGATACAATATTTTAGTGAAAAATTTCACCTCCAGCAAAAGTGCGTGTAATAAGAGAACTTCGGTTGTTAGTTTTGTTGGGAAGATTCACGGCTATTGTCAGTGATTCAGAAAAAAATAAAGATATTATACAAGTTAAAAGATTCTTTTTCTATTCCTACTTCGGCAGAATATATACTAAAACTGGAACGATACAAAAGTTTCTTTCAACTGTAGTTTAACAAAATTCTTCTTTTTACAATAAATTTGTAGTATTCTTGTCATAGAAAGTTCATGTTTCTCATGAAACATATCATGGTCGTTTATTTATCCATAAGTTTCCTTGCAGATCTGCTTCCACCTAAGTTGAAGGTTGGCTTATGTACGGATACTTTCTAACATGACAATGAACTGGGTGGGCTGGTTGAGGAGGAAAAAAACATAGGCATTAATGTGGAAGTAATTCTTTGTGGTGGTTTGGGTTGATGTTTCATGGAGCGTCAGACGGCGAAGACAGGTATCATAATGAAAGTTTTATGCAGCGGAAAAATAAAATAAGGAACTCATTCTCCACCAGAATTCATTCTCATCCAGGCCGTGTATTTTTGACACACAAGTGAAACAAAGACCTCATTTTCTCCATCCACATCGTTCCCTCCTCAGGGGCTTGTATCATTACGTGAGCATCTCGAGAAGGCAAATTGTCGGGTTGTGCGCCTCCGTTGGCATATTACACTCATCTCTCACTTTCTCCACAGCGGAAGTGAGCGGCCCACCTGAACAAAAGTGTTTCTTAAGATGCTCCTTTGTTGAGCTTTTATCCATGGAGCTTTGAGCGTCAATCTCCATAAGGACTTCTTTCTTCCGAGAGTAGATTGACAAAATCATTGCGAAAACTTAGCTAGAGTTGATAAATCCGTCTTTTGTAATCCCTTTTGCATCTCACATTCATTCTATTTTGCCTTTAAGGCAAATTATTGTGCTTCTTCATAGTTTATGCCATTGTCAATACTGTGAAGGAACAATATTTCTCGTCTTCCACAGAAATTCACACAATAAAGTCAGATGAGTAGAGTATCTTGTCAATAAATTTGCCCCTAAAGTCTATTTCGTGCTCATACACCTCCATACAAATATCAATAGACGTGGTGAATGTTGAAAGTTTCACTATTCCGGGAAACATTTCAGATTGTCTTGTGCTTTAAAAGAAAGCAAAGCTGGACGAGTATAGTAATGAAGCACAAAATTACACAAATTCAATTACTCTTGAGATAATATATTTAATATTGGGCAACTTTTAATTGCATCTCCCATCAAATATTGCATAAACTTTGGATTCATACAATTAATCAAATTGATTCGAAGAATAATGAAAGTTCCGAACAGTACAGTCTTAGCCACAAATTTGCGATATTTTGATTTATACTCCATCTGACAACCGCACTGATTGATGATAGCTTTCTTGCAAAATTTCAAGAAACTTTCCATTTCTGCCACCCATATTGGATGATATTGGGTGACGACAAACTAAACCACCACAGTATGATATC